AACTCGTTACTCGAGAACAAGGTCCAAATCGAATCTAGTTCTGTGTATCCCAGATAAAAATCTTGCCTGAATGGTAAGATGTGCATTATTTCTTTGTTTACTTCTGTGAAAGTCAACATCGACCCGCTCCCAGCCCACGCTTGATAGACATTTGATCATTTCTTCTACAATGATCACAATAAGATTACTAAAATGTCAAAAATGCTCAAAACTAACAATCTGTAAGCTTCAAATAGGCAACTATTAATAGAATGCTGACCTTCCACCTCAGTTTTCTTGGATCTATTGCCTTTGGCCTCTGACGGCACATATATTTGAGGACTGGAATCTTCTGCCGTCTCAACATTTACAATATATGGATATTTGTCATCTATTGATACACCTTCGAGCTAATAAGTAAAAAAACCAGTGAGAAAGTAGTTCAAAGTCTACCAAGAAAACTTCAATTATGTTCAAAGTTACCTTTGGCAACTCCGTGCGACGCCTTATAGAAGACGTACTCCACCCGACAACGTCTGTATTTAGTGTCAAGATTTATACATAAACAGACAGACGCCTTATAGAATAATTGGGAAGGAAGCATTGAAGAATTCTAATACAAAAAATAGGCAAGTAGAGAAGCAATGACAGGATACTATCGTAACGCTTATTAGCATAGGTAACACGCCGCCTAAATGACTGCAAAGCAGATCTGCAAGAAAGAACCATAATAATATTACAGGTCAAGATGAGAATGTCTAGATCCAGACAAGAAAGTGTTGCAAACTTGATCTCAAAAACAGTGGACTCACAAGAATTTGAGATCTTCATGATCGCCAGCCATGTGAAGAAGAAGGGGGCAGTTTTCACTGTCCTTGTCAAGTAAAAATAAATGTTTCCCAGTTCTACCAAATAAATATGATGTGCAAATAGCCACTTTTTCCAGGGCATAAAAGCCACAACACATAGGGACCTGAAAATCAAAGGGGGAGAGTACTTAGTTTCATAACAGCCTATATTTGGCCACAAAGTATTTGAAGACACAATGCACACGCTTGGAATTTTTCATCACACTATCAGATCATGACTATAATGGCCCAAGCCCACTGCTATCAGATATTGTTCTTTTTGGGCTTTACCTTTCGGGCTTCCCCTCAAGGTTTTTTTAAAACATGTCTACTAGGAAGAGGTTTCCACACCCTTATAAAAAATGTTTCGTTCAGCACCCAAACCGATGTGGGCTCTCATAATCCACCCTCCTTCGGGGTCCAATGTCCTCGCTAGCACTCGTTCCCTTCTCCAATCAATGTTAGACCCCCCAATCCACCCCCTTCGAGGCCCAACGTCCTTGCTAGCACACCGCCTTGTGTCCACCCCCTCGGATCTCAACCTCCTCGCTGGCACATTGCCCGGTGTCTGGCTTTAATACCATTTGTAACGGCCCAAGCCCCCCAATCCACCCCTTCAAGGCACAACCCACCGGTGTCTGGCTCAAGGTTTTTAAAACCCGTCTCTAAAGAGAGGTTTCCACAATAATGTTTCGTTCTTCTCCCCAACTGATATGAAATCTCACCGTGAAAGAAGGAGCAGAAATGTGCATAAAGCAAGAAAAGCTAAAAGACACATTGATTATTCACCTGTTTATGTCCTCTTGAACCAAGATGTGGGGTTGCAAATGTTATAAAATTAATTGGTTCCAGCCCTGCAATTTTCTCTTTAAACTCCTTTCCATTGCTTTGATCTCTAGACCCGTGTTTGTTATACTCTCCATTTACTTGGGCATCTTCTTTTTGCTCATAAAGCTTTGCAATGGCATACCTTGCTATCAATCCGCCTAATGAATGGCATATGAAGGAGATCTTTTGAACATTTGGATGTCTCTTGATAACCAACAAAATCTGAACAGAAAACAGATTCAAGGTTGTCATATGAACAAGAAATCAAATGAATATGGAAATACAAACTTAGTTTTGAAGATGATGGCTTGCCTCTTCTGCCAGTCTTCCTCCCATCACGTCAACGCCATCCAGTGTCAATGTCGAGTAATTACGTTTACTGCCTGCAAATAACAAGACATTGTATTCATACAAGAAGCTTGGTACGGTATGAACACAAACGTTGTAATAGCCCAAGTCCACTACTAGTAGATATTGTCTGTTTCAGCCCGTTACGTATGCTAGATAGAAGTTTGTTCTCGCTATAAAACTGATGTGGGATCCCACAATTCACTCTCCTTGGGGACCCAGCGTTCTCGCTGGCACACCGGCACACTACCCAGTGTTTGGCTCTAATACCATTTGTAACAACCCAAACCCATTACTAGTAGATATTGTCCATTTTGACCCGTTGCGTATCATTGTTGGCCTCATGATTTTAAAATACTCTACTCGAGAGAGGTTCGTTCCCATCTCTAACCGATGTGGGATCTCACAGACAAACTTAATTGTTCAAAGTAAAAGAATATCAAACTTAAAAGACTCACAATGAACAATGATATCTTCAGGATACGACTTCAAAAACTCCTCCGCTGCATATTCCCAATCTTTGGCACTGACCCAAAAAGGAAAAACAAATCGTCAATACAAATACCAAACGCCATGGATTTGGCTAAAAACTACTGGAAATAGAACGGTACGACCCACCATTGATGAACAGATAATTCGTTGATCAACCAATTCATTATAGTAACAATCAAAAACAGGTACAGAAACAGATACCCACATAAATGCAAAATCAAAATACTGATTGGGAAATAAATCATATGACTGATGAACATGAACATGAACATGAACAGCAACCGAAAAAAAATTCATAAGAAAATGGAGTAACCTGCCAACGAGACCATTAACCATTATGAGAAGATGTGTGGGCTTCCGACGCTCCCCATCGCCATTGACGACCTCCATATCGAAGTTTCCTTCCTCGTCTTGTTGCACTCTGAAACATCCGAATCCGATCTTACGTAGGTAAAACGATTCCATACGAATTCCATTCTTCTTCTTATTCCCATTTCTCGTCTCATTCAAAACATCCGGGGTTTCCGACTCCATCGAAGCCATAATCAAACGCCAGAAGATTCAGCAAATGAAGAGGAACAGAACTCGGCTAAAGTGGTGCCGTTGATGATCGAAGAGCGGGATGAAGGCGAAGAGTGGTTGAAGAAGTTATAGGGAAGATGATGAAAATGGAGCCGGACCGCCGCGATCCCACCGTCAATCAGTGACGGGCCATTGCTATGGTGCACTGAATCTGCAAGAACACGAAGATGCAGAGATCTCCATTTTGTATTACGCCTCAGATTCTGAGTTTTCCCGATCTCCTCTACAACCGCAACCACTCTCACACCGATTCACCATTTCACTTCTAAAGCAACTTCGAATTTGAAGTTGAAGTCAAGCGACGAGTGGGTTTGTCGGCTTCTCTTTGTTTTGGGATTTCAAATCAAATGGGGTCGCATAAAAGTAGAAACAGAGCACCGCCAATCTCATGGGTGGTGACTGATTCAGACGCTCATCGAAATCACATCTTCTTCTTCAATCATTGGGCGACACGTATCAGAATACGAAATCTGAGGATGAACTCGAAACAGATAATTGCCAACCCAATAATAATAATAATAACATTGCCATATGCGAATCGCTAATCCTTTTGGGCCTTTTCAAGCTCGTATGAATTCAAACTCCGCCTAATCTTTGCTTCTTTGCTAATTAATACGTCAAACCCGCATTACTTAAAGTTAATTGCTTATTTTATTACTAATTCTTGCGCATTTGATACGTCTTCCGAATTGATTAACATAAAGTTAGGATTTGATACTAAAGAATTAAATAAGTCAAATAATAAAATTTCAAAGTTTATGGTAAATTTTGAATATTCCCTAATAATTTATATTTTTTTTGCTAAACGTTTTTTTTTCATAAACCATGCAAAATGGTTGTTGGATCAGTTAAATATTATTTTGATTTAAAATCATAAATTATTTCAATTAAATAATTTATTAGTACTTTAAAAAAAAAAATCATTTATTTGGTTTTTTTCTTTTTTAATCATACTATTAACTTCTAGAACTACGCCAGGTGGGACCCAGAACTGCCCTACCCTGACCGACCACCTGCATCTGCCCCGATATTCCTCGCTAATTTTCAACTTTATTATTATTATTATTTGGTCTTTTTTAGATATTATTTTTCTCCCAAATGGCAGGTGGGATAATTATACCGATGTCTAATAAAATAAAATAAAATCTAATTTATTTATTTACTCCCAATTACCCTATCATGTTTTTTCATTTTTGTTAAAAAAATATTAATAATTTTTAATTAAATTAAAAAAAAACAAAAATTTCGAATTTCCAAAACTTTACTTCATTTTTTAAAATATTTGAAAATATTAGCAAGGAGTAAAAGAAGCTTTTTTTTTCATTAATCATGAGACATCACAATTGAGTCGATTAATTTTCTTTGAAATGATAATCTCACGAATTAAATTAGAGGTCTTCTAAAAAAAATTAATGATTAATTTAAGAGTTTAAGACGACACCGTTATTATATTTGTATTAGAAACTTGGCGTGCACGATAATCAAATTAAACTCTGTTGAGTTGACTGCAGAATAACAGCAAATTCTTGATTATTTTATTGAAGCCATCTACATGAAATTTCTTAATTTAATGTTTCAAATATATATATATATAAATATATGTATAACTATTATCCTATGATGAGGCTAAATTAAGCTGAATCTGTCACCATCATCTCTTCAACGAGAGTTCATAAGCTCAACAGTGGCAGATTCCTATTGCAGCATAGAGTTTGAGTTTTGAATAAATTGTCACATAGAATGTGGGGTAATCCGCTCCCGAAATTGTGAGATTCCACATCAATTTGAGAGAGGAACGAAACATTTTTTATAAGGGTGTGGAAACCTCTCCCTAACAAACACGTTTTAAAAATCTTGAGGGGAAGTTCGGAAGGGAAAGTCCAAAGAAGACATTATCTACTAGCGGAAAGCTTGGGCCGTTATACGAATTGAACTAAGATTGAGATTAATGGATGACTAATTCGAATTGTAATTCAAATATCATTTAGTAACCTATAGAAAAACTAATCCATAAGATGTTGAAGAACATGGCATTAATGAATGAGCTAACCTTAGCAACTACTCCTTATTGAGAACTTTAGGAACTTTGATATACGGCTCATCGAAGGCTGGAACTGCGCGAATCATGGCCTCTCTGGTGTCAAAAAAATAGTAGAAGTTATGGCCAAAGCTTCCTGCTAAATTTTGGGATAGCCCAAGTTGCAAAATAACCAGGTTACCTGTTTTCAAATGTTTCAGGAGCGTCATTCCGCTGATTGCCACCTCCACTATCTGTAAATAGTTGAAATAACTTGAAGTTTTAGCAGTTTAATTGCAAAAAAATCATGTTCGTAATGGTCTATCAGAAATATTAATAAACATCTATGGCTGGGGTTGGGAATTCTGAAATCATAATCGGTTGTTTTGCACTTGATAGCATGCAACAGCCAAGCCACCGCTAGCAGATATTGTCCGCTTTAGCTCGCTACATACCGCTATCAGCCTCACAATTTTAAAACGTGTCTGTTAGGGAGAGGTTTCCATACCCTTATAAAAGATGCTTAATTCCCCTCTCCAACTAACGTAGGATCTCACAATCCACATTCCTTGGAGTCCAACATCTTTGTTGGCACACCGCCTGGTATCTGGCTTTGATACCACTTCTTGATTTGTACGTGCATCCTTGCTCACGGGCTATACTAATCTTGTATGTATGGTTCCAATTTTATCAGATGTCGCGAGGGCTGTTACATAGCACAAGTAAACGGAACAAAGTTATGGGTCCTATTGTTGCCATCCCCTCCTTGATGTTTTTCATTAGCTCACTAGTTTCCACGGCGAGAAAAAGGCAATGCCTCCTTGTCTTTTTCATCAAGCCAACACTGAACAGTGAGGAAAAAGCAAAGGTATGCTAGAAGAAGAACAACAAACAAGTTGCAAAATGATTGATGATCACCTGCTCTAATGAAAGGTTCCATACTTTGAAGATCAACTGTCTGGAGCTGCCCAAACCTGAAAAATAGAGTTATCATATTAAAGTAGTTGGAAACCAAAGGGTACAACAGATGAGAGAATTGAGTCGACAGAATGAACAATTTCATAGGAAAAATGGAAGCTACAACGGCAAAAGTCCATGGAACTTCATTGCTAAAGGTAGTCAGAGGATGAAGGTGGTTTTGAATGTTAAGGTGGATAATGGCGTCTCTATTTCTTTTTGGACAGATCAATGGACACCTCACGGCCTCTAAAGGAGAAATTTTCCAAAATTTCCAACTCACTAATTTTGACTCCACCATGGTTAGGATCACTAGAAGGTGTGTAACAACCAAAACACACCGTTAGCAAATATTATTCGCTTCGGTCCATTATGTATCGTCGTCAACCTCACTGTTTTAAAACGCGTTTTCTAGGGAGAGATTTCCATATCCTTGTAAAGAATGTTTCGTTTCCCTTTCCAACTAAGGTGGGATCTCACAATGTAGCCAAGTGTTAGGCTACTTAATATAGAATCTTAAACGAACAGATCATTCATTCTTCTGAAAAGTGTTTGAATTCAATAGTAAAGGGCTATTCACTGTTGGAGTTTGGATTCTAATTGCCTCCTTTTCCAACCCCCTCCTATCTCCCTTAATAATAAAGGAGATGCGGTGGCGTCCCTTCAAAGCCGTTCATTAAGGTTATTTAGAGGGAGGAGGAGTCTGAAAAGGTGAGATTTTAGGATTGAACCCAGCTCATGGGGGCTTGCATTCTGCAAAGGTTCAAAAAAGGAACCCCACGTTCTCTCTTCTCTCAAGCTAGTGCATCTTCGTAAGAAAGATAAAGAAAATTGTTGTCATCTCTCCCTACATTGTCCTTTCTCCAAAAAAAAATATATATATATATGGAATTCTCTTGTAGACACTTTTTTGATTTGTTCAAGTCCTTCCCAATGAAGCTTCCGAAACACCTCTTATAAGGGTGTAAAAATTTCTAGCTAACAGACGTGTTTTTTTCAAAAACCTTGAGGAGAAACTAAAAGAAAAAGTCCAAAGAGAACAATATTGGCTAGTGGTGGGTTTGAGATGTTACAAATGATATCAGAGCCAAATATCGAGCAGTGTGCCAGTAAGTACTCTGGCCCAAGGAGGGTGAATTCTGAGATTCCACATTGGTTGGAGAGGGGAAAGAGTGTGGAAATCTATCTCTAAACAGACCAAAAGGGAAAGAAAATATTTGTTAGCCGATGTATCAGAGGACGCAAGACCCAAGTAAACCAAACAAATTATGGAGAACAACATTTTACAACCTCTTGGTGAAGATCACTTCAATGTTTAGGACCTAACAAGCAGTTATCCCATCATAATTTACTTAGAGACCTGACCAAGATACCATTGTATTTCAAGATCTACTAGTTATGAGAGTTTGTGTATGTATGCATAGGCGAGGGAAAGATGAACTTACCAGTCAACAACTTGTCCAATTTTAGGCGCCAATTCTTCAACCTGAATTAGACAATCAAGCAACACAAACCCGAATAGTAAGAAGCAAATGTTACTCGATTCAAAAAATTGAATAAACAGAAGCAAAGATGGACGAGGGGAGAGCCTCGCATACCTCACCGGGAGTGAGAGAAATTCGAGCTGTTTCAGCTAAACGGAGGACATCGGGAGGTTGAAGAGAGGCCATAATGCCTGAAGCAGTCAAACATTTTCGAATTCTGATGTTAGAAACAGATGGCAAATGCAAGCCGCTAGAGATGAAGATTCGGCGCTTTAACGATGAAAATGATGAAGCTCCTTTGAGCACAGGAAGAGATTTGCTTCCCATTCCAATCGTTAATGGCGGAAAATGGAGCCTATCGCCAAAATTTTATTATTTTATATTAAAATTTCAAATATATATATATATATATTTTATTAAATTAGTTAAAATTCTAATTTAACTTTTATAACTAAAATTTTCAACCAACTGAGCCCTAATTTTCAGTTATCTGCTTCAGCATCTCGGTCGATATTCACCTCCCGCTCACCGTCGTCTCTTGGCGCCTCAGGCTCGCAGCTTTTGTTCCCTCGTTTGGATTTTTCCGGTTCTCCTCTTCAAACAAGTGAGATTGAAGTTTTAGGATCTTTCAAATTTTCATTTCTTCAAGTTTATGCGTTGTGCAAGTCTAATTTTGGATTTGGGAAGGATCGATATTGGAATTATATATTGGTTGTGCTTTAAGAGTATCCAATTATGTTTTCTTTGTGGCTAAACTAAACGATTTGATTCTCCTTCCTCCACCGATCCGTATGAACAGCAATTTGTACTGTGGCAGCTTAGGGAACAAATGCGTCATTCACTCGAGCGATTTCTATTTGTTCTTTTTCACGTTCTTGTCATCATTATGAAATGGCCGAGTTTCTGCCTGAGTAGTATGTGAGTATCACGAAAACTCTTGATTACACATTCAGACATACATTTCCTTCCATTTTAGTTAATTGTATTGGCTTGTACATGATTTTCTAGGGTCGACAGTAAAATTTTGAATGTTGGAGAGGAGCTGTGGAGGGAAACATTACCATTACAAATGGGTTCTCGCCTGTATCATCTTCAAGGACTTAAACCTGATATGTGGTATGAAGTGAAGATATCATACCCGGGCTCTGTATGTGTTTTTTCTGTCCTCTTGAAGCTGAATTCTTTTAAACTCTCCTTCTGAGTTTGTCTCATTCAAGGAAATAATAGATGCCTGCCAGCTTCTCGTTAGAACTGAAGAGAGACTTGACAAGCCCTGTTGATAAGAAGAGCAGAAAACTACTCGATACTGAAAAGCTTATTTTTAAGACAGAAAGCATGAACTTGCAGGGAGATCAGGTTGTCTTCTCCCCTTATTAGTTTAGGCGAATGATTGTAGACTTTGATTGATAAATTTGTTAAAGTTTCAAACTTACAGTTCTGAAACAGGTCGATACACATGTATTGGTCTCTGTGATTTCTGAGGGAGTTGTTGCCTTAACGTCCGCCCGGGAAAGGGATTCGATCATCTTCAATATAGGTATCTTCATATGCTTTTGAGCATCTTATCAATTTTCTTCTTTCCGACTTGTTAAAGGAAGTCATACATGGGTAGGATAAAAACTTTAGGTTAACTAAAATGTTCTAGTCGAAGCATCGTTGGTGGTTTACAGTCCCAGGTGTTTTTTAATCTCATTTGCAGGACATTAGTTAGTAATGCATCTGGTGTCAATTCAAAAGATGGTATGGAATTGTCCTGACACGAGAGTTCATGGAAAGAGTAACTTGAATTATGCATATGAAACGCAAAAAAATTGATTCCATACATGATTTAAGAACCAAACGTTTATTTCCCATTACTTGCTCAAGAAAATATCTGTAATAGCTCAAGCCCACCACTAGTAGATATTGTTTGCTTTGGCCCGTTACGTATCGTTGTCAGCCTCACGGTTTTAAAACGCGTCTATTAGGGAGAGGTTTCCACACCCTATAAGGAATGTTTCATTCCCCTCTCCAACCGATGTGGGATCTCATGATTCACCCTCCTTGGGGGCCAGCGTCCTCGCTGGCACTCCGTTCGGTGTCTGCTCTGATACCACTTGTAACATACAAGCCCACCGCTTGTAAATATTGTCCTCTTTGGGGTTTTCCTTCCGGGCTTCTCCTCAAGGTTTTAAAACATGTCTGTTAGGGAGAGGTTTCCACATGTTTATAAGAAATGTTTCGTTTTCCTCTCCAACCGAGGTGGGATCTCACAATTCACCTCCTTGACGGCCCAGCATCCTCGCTGGCACACCGCTCGATGTTTAGCTCTGATACCATTTGTAACCGCCCAAACCCACCGCTAGTAGATATTGTCCGCTTTGGCTCATTACGTATTGCTATTAACTTCACGATTTTAAAACGCGTATATTAGGGAGAGGTTTCCACACCTTGTTACAATATCTAATGTCCTGACTGCTGAAAAGAGCTCCCAGTTAATCCAACTTGAGAAAAAAGAAATCTGTTGTTGTTCTTACATTGTTGACAAGTGTGCTAAAAAGAAGAGTACAAGAAGGGGATTGAGGGTTGGATGGCTCATCCTAGCAGGGTACATAGACAATTCCATTTTTTGTTATCCTTGTTTAGGGGTGTGTACTTAATTGTTGGTTTACTGTTAACGTCCAAAACCTGTTACCTCTTGCCCCTTTCATATGCTGGAGTCATATCAGTCTATCTCATTTCTTAGTATGATAGTTTCTGGCTTTTGTGACAGTCTGTGATGAACTACTTATCGGCATCCCGCACGAAGCTTGGGGGGTTGGAGGGTTGGTTATAATCTGCTTGATATTGGCATTCATAATCCCATCTTTTCTACCCTCATGGCTGCTACGGACCAACCAAACCCAAGGACCAGGAAACCATCATGCATCCAAGAGTTCTTAAGTAATTGGTTAGTCTAAGACCACCCTGTGCAACAGTTCTAAGGCTATAGCAGGATGGAGCTCAGTTATTGTAGACTGCCAAGCTGCGTGCCTGCCTGCCCGCCCTTATCTCACAAGGATTTCCTCATCACATCGTGAGAAGGAAAAGGAAAATATGCAAGCTTTTTGCCCATTAACAAGCTTTTGGTTCCCTTTTGTTCCCTTTAGAAATTTAAAATTCTTTACGAATGAGTTGAACTCAGGTAGACTCGTTATGATAATTTATTGATTTTTATGTTCTATATTGTCAAGGTACGATTTTCACGAGCCTCATCTCTTTCGGTAGAAATGGATTGTAAAGGGTATTTTAGTGGCAAGTCCTAGATTAATATCACGACTTCGACAAATTCTTATAATTTTCTTTGATATTTGCGTTATAAATACAGAAGGAAAATTTAAACTTTATCATTTAGAAAAAGTAAAATTATGGTTTAAATTGAAAGAATAATATTTTTTAAACAAAGTTTTGTTACATTGTAGCCAAGAAATGAAATCATGTGGTTTACTTTTCATCCTAAATTTTGGACCGTTGCTTGGAGGGTATATTTTCATCCTAAATCATGTGGTTGGTGTACAACATTAATTCCAATGTTATTTTAAATTCTTCACTAAGCTTCACATGCCACGTGGCAACACATTCGAATTCGACCGTTGCCGCGCTCAAGACCTTTTTCTTACACCCCCATTTGGCGTCCTTCGTCTTCCTCGTTTCTCTCTGTCTCTTCTCTCGCCATTCGATCTGCTCTCTGTTCTCTCCCTCCCTTTATTTCAGATGGCGGTCGCTGCAGAAAACCAACCCCAGGAGAAGGTAAAGCGACGGAAATTTGTTATAGCATGTTTCTGATCGTGATTTTTGTGGTTTCGCTTTCGTTTGTTCTTCCAAGATTAGGATTGAATCATTCAATTTGTTTATCTTTCTCTCTTCTCACCACGAGGTTCATGTTCTTTTAGATTTTTATTATTTGATGTAAGAAATATATTTTTTTAAATTTCTGACGTGCTTATGAACACGATTAAATCTCCGCTTCTGAATTCTTGTACTATCTTTGATATCATGGTGGGAATTGAATACTGTGGATGTCTTTTGGTTTTAATTTCATTTTAATGGAGTTCTTTGGTTTATACTAACACGGACTATCGATGTTAGTTTGTGAGTTTGTAGTAAGGAAACCAGCTAATTAGGGTTTNCCTCCCTTAAATTCTCATCTCTCACCCCTCATTCACACATCCAAATCCACACATTTACGGCACTGGGCAGGTAAGGGAGACAAATCTTTGGATTTTAGGTTGTCGTATCGCTCTCGGGCCTCTGCTACAGGTGAACCACACTTCCACAACGTCCACGGCCCAATACATGCAGTCCAGCTCGGAACGTATCAGCCCAGTGTGCCTCAACCCATCCCATACAGCCCGCGCTTAACTTGAATAATGAGCCGCCTCATTCCTGCGTCAGCTCGGCTTGGCGGCGCGGTCGACTAGGCTTGGCGACTCGGCTTCTCAGCTTAGACGGCTCGTATAAAAATTATATACCATTTCCTAAGTTTTCGACATTCCTAAAATAATTTTTGCCTTATTTAACTCTTGTTTACCCAAATTTAGTTAGTTTTAGGACTTATGTGAGAAATTTAGTTAGTTTTAGGACTTATGTGAGAAATAATCATCATGTTTAGTTAGGTTAAGAGGTTTATATGCAAGTATGTTATATGAATTGATATAGGTGAGAATTAAGCATTGGAATATAGTTTTCGAAGTGGCTATCGAGTAATTAGTAACTTTGGCCAAGGCCAACCTCGTAAGTGGTCTTACTGTTGGAGTTAGCTAATTGGTTTATGTATGATGGTGCATGTATCATATTAATTATGTGATGCTTATTTGCTCTTTGTATTGCCAGGTATGCATGCGATATCCATTACACTATATTATGAATGAAATGAAATGTCATGTATGAAATGTTATGTCTTGCCATATAAGTTATGTGATGGATTACGTGATATATACCACGTATACATGATCCATATATGAAATATGTTACGGAGGAAAAGAGAAACGAAATGAAACAACTATTATGTTGGGAATGAAAAGCATGGGACCTCATGCATGTATGTATGTCATGTACATCGGGATACTTCCCCGTAATGTTATGCTAGTACGGATGCGTACCTTCGATATTTATGTTTGTCATGATATCATGTGGGTCTTTCCTTTTCTGAGGCATTCAGTGACGTGTAATATATTGTCCCAACCAAGTCAGGCCCAAGGGGTACGTATACGACCCCGCCTAGTGGGTCCTTGAGCGTGTACGTGGGCCGTGAGTGAAAAAGTACCATGCATCAAACCCTATCTGAAACTAGAAAGAGCCTAAGGTCATGTTACGGTTTTAAAAGATAGATCTCAATCATGTATTGTGTGTGACTGCATTGCTAACTCCAATAGTGGGTTGACTTACCGAGAATTTCTTAAAATACCCAAGTCACATGTTACCTTATAT